AAACCCCTCCCCCCCCTCGACATCATTTCACGCATCTAATAGCAAACACTTCAGTGGACGACCTTGATTCCGTGCATCGAAGGAAAGAGTTCACACACTGAGCCTCTAATACTTGGCATTAAAGCGGTAAGAAGTGATAAAATGTAGCGCAGATGGTATCTTATCCATTCTTATCGAATGATATGATTACCTGCCACCCGTCATCAATGTCCTTATCACTAAATCCTTATAATTTGGTAATGTAAAAGCTGCACCGCCTTGAACAGCGACGACGACTGAACGTCTCTTATCAGCCCCTATCAGTAGTTATCGCTTCTAGTCACCCACCGTTGATGTTCCCATCTCACCCTCTATATCACTTGCTGAAATGAACGCCTCGCTGATGCTGTCACCCGCGTTATGAATATGGTGACCTCCCCCTTCCAATGCCTCTTATCAGATCTTATCAACTGATATCACTTCCTATCACCCACCAACCAAACACACACACTTAGCGAATTAAATATAGTAGGATAGCCCTTACCTGCTCGTATGACCCTTTTCCTGAGATACTGGTCTTCCTCTATTAGGGCTGAGCTTTAGTAAAGAGAAGGAGCACTGTCACAGGCAACCATGAAGAAGTGCTGCTTTTCTTCACCGTTTCTCTGACTGCCCTAGCATCCCGCTCCGCTCGAAAGCGACTGGAATCTACACGCGCCGAAGTGAAAACAAACATGTGATGAGTCGCTACACATGCGTCAGGCCTTTTCAGGGTGAACGGATGTGATATTCGTCTGAAGAAGGTCAACCAGACCATTTGAAACGACTGAGGTGATTTCGAAAACTTTGGCACGGTGCCTATGGCACTGACGCCAAGAGTTTCCGCGTTGAGTAGATGTGGTATCCGTGTCAGAGGTCAAACTATCCCAGCAGACACATCTGAGCCAAGTCTGTCCAAGGAGGAAAAAGTTGGTCGAAAACTGGCTCGATCCCGGACGATAGGGGCAGAGAAGGGTAAATAGTGCCTGCTTTCATAAATTCTCTTTCCTTCATCCAGAGCGATCTAAATGCTTATGTTCTACTATCTTCTTTGATCCAACCAGAAGCAGGACTTCCAAGAGAAATGTAGGCTAAGTTACCGCATTCCGTCAAGAGTACTAAACTAACGACCACAGATTTCCGGAGCGTCTGATCTATTGAACCAGGGAAGGGCCTTTCGCGGCTTGAAAGGGCAGAGAAGGGGGATGGCTATTTCGCCTAGGCTCATGCCAGTCCTAGTTCCTGTGTTGTCGTGATAGGCCGCTCTGCGTTCTTGCCCATTCTCGTTTTTGGTTACTCTCCCTCTCTCTCCTGCTGTCTGTCTGTTCTGTCTGTCTATCTCTCCTCTCTCCTTCACATTCTTCCGTTGTAATGGTCGCCTCTCCTTTGCATTTGATCTCGGCCACCTAAGGCCGCGTTTTATAGCTTGCGTTCAGTGAAAGAAATGCAGAAATGCGGAAAATGCAGAAGTGCGGAAAGTGCAGAAGTGCGGAATCTGCAGAAAAGCAATAGATACGTATCGACTTGAAGAAATGCAGAAATGCCGAAAGTGAAGAAATGCGGAATCTGCAGAAATGCCGAAAGTGAAGAAAGTGCGGAATCTGCAGAAATGCCGAAAGTGAAGAAATGCCGGAATCTGCAAAAATTGCTGCGAAATGCAAAGGGAAGAAGCTGCGGATTCTGCAGAAGATGCCGCGAAATGCGGATTGCTGCAGAAAAGCAACCGATACGTATCGATTTTCCACACTTTCGGCATTTCTGCAGATTCCGCACTTCTTCACTTTCGGCATTTCTGCATTTCTTCAAGTCGACAAGTATCTATTGCTTTTATGCAGATTCCACTTCTGCACATTCTGCACTTCTTCACTTTCGGCATTTCTGCAGATTCCGCACTTCTTCACTTTCGGCATTTCTGCAGATTCCGCATTTCTTCACTTTCGGCATTTCTGCATTTCTTCAAGTCGATAACGTATCTATTGCTTTTCTGCAGATTCCGCACTTCTGCATTTTCCGCACTTCTGCATTTCCGCATACGTTCGTCAGAAAACCTTCAAAAATAGGTCAAGGAGGAATTATGAACATGATTTTCTTCTTGTTTCCTTCCCGTCAATGAGTTAGCTGGACCAGCAGTCACCGAACCGAAAAGATAATGTTATCTTACGCAAGGACAGAGTAAGCAAAAAAGATTTCTCCGGATTCTTCTTGAAAAAACAAGCCTAAAACCTTGCAGGAGGTTGGTCGTGTTCACAAGTAGCGTCCCTGTTGCGTTCAGCATCATCGGCAGCTTTCGATTTCTTTTTCTTGGCCTTCTTCTCGTACTGAACGTATGCAGTTTATTACGGAGGCGTACGTGACAACTATGTGTCACCGCATTTTGTTAGTAAAACAAATTTGGAAACCTTGAGGATTTTGTTTCTTGTTTGGGAGAAGAGCTCTCGATAGGACTTTCAGTATCGCCTGCGCATGATGACAATTTATTCATTGCCACATCACTGAAATACGTTACTTTCGGAAAAAAATTAAGTAATGGGACAATCATGAAAATCAGGAGCTAAATGACCACACAGAATCGATCAACGCAAGTACGCCTTTTACTGGAAGAAAAGAGTTCAAATTCATCAGGGTGTCCTTGCAAGACTGAATAACTGGAAATTACGAAGGCGGGGAAGTGAAAAATCTATGTAGGTATGATTAGGTAAAGATAAACTCTCTACTTCTAGGAATTCTCACTGCTGCACGGTAGGACGCAGCCCCAAATGACATTGTACGATCACCTGTTAGTGGGATTCCTCACGTGTGCACTTTGACAGGTCCACACCAATATAACTGTAGCGCTCCCAGCATTCTGTGCGGTAGTGAAAGTAAAGCCCCTTAAACTTGGATCCTCAACTTGAGTTTTTTATATCTCCGATCGGCCTCCAATACACAGGACGCAGGCCACTGCCACACGAAACACCTAGCTGTGCGGTTATAGTCAGGCATGTGGTCAGCTGTGTGGCAATGGCATGCGTAACGTGAAGGCATAAGGAGCAACAAGTTTCCGCAACCTCTAATTGTATACGCGCTTACGGTGAGAGTGCTGTACTTCTTCTACTGTGGACTAACCATTTCGTGAAGGTAATGAAACCATCTCTCAAAAATCGAGGCGTATAGTTAGAGCTGCGTCCTGACTTGCTGCAATGGAAATTTGCAGAAATAAAGAATCAAGACTTTTTGGACCTTCCTACGGATTCCCCTTTCTCGGAAGTGTCATTGTACAAGTATGAACCGAGATGCCTTTGGGTGGATGAAAAGGAATCGACATCGAGGCATCTCGCCTTGTTATAGAGGCGCGTTCATACTTTGCGTCTTGAATATCCTGGGTCGCGAAGCATAAAGGTGGTCGATAAATGCGCTCACCGAGCACGCGAATAAACAACAGCCTTTCTAGGTACAGTCAAGTTTGCTGCGGTCGATGGACTTATCACGGGAGCATCTCGATCTGGCATGGTGCCAGTCACTTCCCCATCAAATGTGGAAGCTGGCAGGTGACCACAATTGGTGAAAATTTAAGCGAGGAAGACGATACCCCTAGCAGCTTCCCAGTTAGCTTATGTGCGCTTCAACTGAGTTACGTTACCTTTGATTGACATTCATATTTTCCCTTTTAGCAACTCCGGTTCCCCTGATGTATAATATACACTTTCCACTAATTCTCCGATCCACCAATTCAATGCGACGTACGAACGCAGCCTAATGAATCGGTTCATACTTAGCGATGACAGTGATTTAGATTGACTGATCGCTGATTCCTTGAAGAGAACACTGGCTGGGCGAATACACCCTAACTGCGTCATAGTAACCAACTGCATCACACTGCAGTACCTCCAGACAGTTTCGAAGGCAGCCCCCGCGCTCAAGTAATTCCGCGGTCGTCCTTCCTCTGTAAGCAGTCCAGTCCCCTCCCACCCCCTCCAGCTAAAGAGGCTCCCACTTTTGAGAATCCGCCACGAGCGAGAAGGGTGTTAAAGCCGATGAAAGTTCTAGCTCACCCGCTTAGATGGACCGCCTACTTGCTAGATGTCCTCTCCACATCTGACACAGGGCCGCTCAGTTGTTCTTTGTTGGGGCGGCGGGCATTAATCGGAATTGCATGTCTATTTTGCTGACCGCGCTCGTGCCCATAAGTAATTCTGCTCTCCTTTATTACATTTTATTTATTAGGAGCACGTACGGACAAGGCAACCCATCTCGCAAGGTAAAACGAGTTAAAATCAATAATGCTGGAATTTTTTGATACAAAAGCTCGATGTGCATTAAAACATGCACGCTACTGTGATCCTCAATTTGCAGCAGAATTCCTGATAATTTCTTTTTGTTACGAGTTCCTCGTCGATGTTTTTGTTGTTTTTGTATTCTTTTTTTGCATAAATGATATTTACTACTGGGAGATGCGAAAAAGCGATTTGTGAGGAAGGGATTGCACACAGACCGCAGGGCGGTGTGACTGCGATTTTGCTCATGGTGTTCTGAAAATTCTTCTTGCTTTTTTTTATTCTTAAGGAATTGCTCATCAGGATGGCTACTGGTTCATAACTCAGTAACAACTATTCATGACCTTTAATCGCGGGAACTATCTTTAAAGCAGCAGGGGTCCAACAGTATCCGCACGACGCTGAATGACGCGCCAAAGAGTTGCAGGGATAAGCGCAACAGCAACTTGTCACCGTATCTGCAGCTTCTTCTTCTCCACGTCTTTACCAATTGTAATCTGCTCAAAATATAATTCAGCGACTTAGAAATTAAATGCGAAATATCTATGGACTCTTATCGAAAATAATGACAAACGTTATTGAAAAAAACCCATTACATAGCAAGCGCGACCAACCATGCCAAACTTGCTTTAGTTCGGTGTTCGACAACAGCTTCGATCCCATGACGAACCGCATACTCAGCATCTTTCAGAAGTTGATTAACGTAAAGTTCACAGTATGGTGTTAGCTTTATCTGGAAAGGAAATTACACGATTGAAACAAGGGAGAGATGCGAAATAATGAACAAACCTCATGGGTATGAAAATGTCCTGTCTCGATGCAATGAAGGTCTCTTTCTTCTTCGCTGTAAAAACGTTCCGTACAGGATGCACACTGATATTTTCTGAAGAATGAAGAGGTAAAGGATAGGATTATGCTAAAAACGTAGTTGAGCACTAATGTAATTTCGGTAGGGGTCGGGCGCTCTTCTGAGGTTAAGCTTGAGGGAAGGGAGGGATCACCGCTAGAGCGGCGCGGATATGCTGCCTTTATTGCGGCACGAGAGAGAACGAGATGCCTTTCCTCCAACGCCTTGCGCTCTCGCACGACACCAGAGATGGCTCGAGAGGCAGCAGCAGTTTGTCGGCTACTGTAACATACGCGAACTCTGATGCTCTTCGAACAGCTTGCCGAGTTCGTATGTTGCGTCCATCGTCGATCGCTGCGGCCGTAAGGCGGGCGTAGCAGACGGTTAGATGAGGCGACATCGTGGCAATACTGAGTGTCTCACCTTTCCTCCCCCCCCCCCTTCCTCCTACCTAAAATATGCTAGGATACATTGTGTCTCCCTCCTACCTAAAATACGCTAGGATACTTCGTGTCGTTTTGTGCGTTTCGGAGGAACCGGTTAGGCAAAAATGAAACCATAGAGATTCGTCTAGCGTTTTGGGAGCAATGCAAACATTTTGAGCGCTCTGAGAGAAGTTGCGTTTTGAACGTTACAAGCGTAAAGTATAGGTATCGATCCAGCGTCAAGAAAGCGTCATCGTTTTCGGGGTCGATCAAGAACTGTACTACCCTGTTCACTGAAGTGCTGATTCACTCGACTGGATTTCCAAATATAAACGCAGATTGCGATCTTTTTTTCTTGAAAAGGAAGTCTCTTATGAAACACAGATCAGATTTCCTCCTTCTACAACTCAGCCGAATGGCACGACCTTAAAAAGCGTCAATTGCCAAATCTCACCGATATGATAGGTGTTGGTAAATGTGCTGAATAAGATCATATTTGGAAAGAGTGTCCTCATCGCAAAGACGGCACTTCAAAAAACATCTGAAGAAAGGAATTGTTGCCTTCATGACGGACCTTTTAGAAATATAGATTACAAAACTGAAAAGAAAAACAATTCTACCGCTCTGTCATCCTCAGCGATTTCGTTGTAAACGAAGTATACCTTGCGATGATTCAGATCCTTAACAAATTACTATTAACTGCTGAACCTTTGTAGCAAACGAAGCCGTTGGTCGCAATACAATAGTTCGAATCAAAACAGTACGCGGTACATACACGTGCCAGGGTACTTAGGTTTAGTCACTTATAACAGTGAACAGTTGCAGTACTTCCGCTGTTTCTTCTCACGCTCCGTTTCGTGAGGTTTCACAGTTGAAGATGTAAACGTGAAATATGGCTGCACTTGCCAGAGTAGTATTGGAATGGGAGCCTTAGAGGAGCACTGTACGTGGAGGAAACAGAACTGTGTCAATGAGGGAGCGTTCATAGTTTGTGGCCCGCGCTTTGCGATAAGCAGTGGAGCGCGCTTGCCGTCACTCTGATGCATTCATTGTCGAACTCGGTTTCGGGATCACATGGAGTATGCTGCAGAACCTAAACTGAGCGACCAATGAGAATGGAAATCAAACGAGAGAGTGCGTTGAATAATGGAATGATGAGGAACAAGTATGGTTAATGCTTTAACTGCGCCTCACTGGTGATTGCAGAACCCTAAGGTTGGACTGAGGTTCATACTCTGCGGCAGGGTCCAACAGCGTTCACCAGCGTTCCGAGCGTTCGGCAGCGTCAGCGACTAGCAAGTATAAACATCGATCTAGCATCTGCCAGCGTCTGCCAGCGTCCACCAGCGTTCTCCCGCGACCAGCAGCGATAGGAGGGTAGCATACAGCTGGTACCCTCCTATCGTCCCATACTGTTAATAGTAGGCTGCTGCTGTCGCTGGTGAACGCCGAAAGACATCGGCAGAGACTGGTAGACGCTAGGATGATGCCTATCCGTCCCTAGTCCACGAAACCCTGTGGGCGTCGGTAGACAATGGAACACACTGGCAGACGCTAGATCGACATCTATATTTCTAATCGCTGACGCTGCCGGACGCTCGGAACGCTGGTGAACGCTATTGGTCGCTGGTGGACGCTGCCGCAAAGCATGAACGCAGCCTAAGGCCACCGTTTGTAGGACTAGAAGTCGACACGCATCCAACCATAATCGCGGATTCCTTGAACTGCCGACTACGAAGAGCGCCAAAGGAAAGATGGAGGGACTTATCGGGGAAAGACCTCAGTGAAATGAATGTCACGGCAAAAGGTTAGGGACAGCTCAACGTTTAGCAAGAGTAGCGGACTTCACGGCGGGACTAAAGATAATGAGGAGAAGGGGGCTGCTAGGGGTAGGGATAGGAGAGGACAACATATACACGTCCATGCCAGGGTAGAGCTATTTCAGTAGCAACGGTCCTCTGCCTTGATTAGGTGCTTTAGTAGTCCTAGTGTAGCGCGGCCACACGACGGAACGCCAAGACTACCCTTCGAGACACGCCGCGCACCGCTCTAGTTGTAAAACCACAACGCAACGCTATGGTGATGCATTCAGTGCTAGAAGGTGCGAAGAAACGGTTGTAACCCTCAACAAAGATTCTTGCCCAAGTTTATTATGTGTTTCCTTGCCCTCCCAAAACTGAGGCTCGGAGAGGGGAAGAAAAGCATGACGCGAACGAGTGCAGTGCGCGGCATAGACTCGCAGAGCAGATGTGCCACGCCACAGCATTCCCGAACTACGTTATCATCCTAATTTTTAAGGTACACATTCACTATAAGAAGGTAGCTGTTCAATAGTTGACGACCGTGCGCGTACTGATATTTTCTGCCGCTTGGAACCGCGCGTTTTTTTCGTACGTGATATGCATGATGCGTACAAAAAAAACCGTCCCACGAGAAGTACTTAAAGAATCCGAATCGAGGATATGCTCTCAAGCGTTGTAACAACAGGGCACATCATTGGCTGGGGATTTTAGTCGAGCCTGCACGACTCACCTCCCCCCACCCCCCCCCCCCTCCGGCCCTCTGTTCCTCCTCATCATCGAATCGAGCCGTCGAGCAGGGGAGGGGGGGGGGTAAAATAGCACATGTGAAACAGGAAAAAAAAAGTCGCGAGACAATATGACCCCCCCTCTACCAATTCTCAGATTTTCCCCAACTTCCTGCCACTTTTTTTTCCAAAACTTCAGCGGGAGGGGGGAGGAGGGGGACGGGGGAGGTGTCGCGGTTCGCGACAACGTGGCCGGGGTCCCGTGCGCCTGGGCTCTGGCGCGCTACACGGGCAAAGCCGCGACGCGACCGCCGAAGGCCGCGCCGCCGCCCCGCCCCCAGTGGAGCCCTTATAAGGGCTGCTGCGAGCCAGTCGGTGTGCTTCTCTCCCTCCGGGAGGAGAGATCCACCGGGCACCCGCTCTGCCGCCATGATGCCGGACGGTTCTGCAGGGTGCTTGCACTCTGTACAGCAGTGTGGTCGGGCACACTGCTCCGTCTGGCGGAGCTCTGGCTCAGGCCCGTGCCTGCTATGACCCGAAGGCACGGCCGGCTGTGGGTTGCAGCTTGTAGCCGCAGAGCGCCTTTACCGCTAGGATTACCGCTAGGACAGATGGCAGATGGATGGTCAGTCCAGCTACGGCAGGATGTAAGGACAGTTGGAAGATGGTTACCGCAAACACGTGAGTTAATAAATATGGTGTATATGTTTTGTTATGTTGCAATAGGTGGGAGTTGGGAGCGACCGGGCAGGAGGCCCGTAGGGTGCTGGTAAGGCAAGGGAAGGTACAGGTTGGGGTAAGGTATATTTATTATTGGTCATATTTCTATTGGTATTTTGTGTGGTTGGTTATTGCATGCCGTAGGGGGTAAGGGGGTTAACAGGCATGCTGTCAGACCGGTTACGGCAGGCTGCGACAGTGGGAGGGCCGGCCGACCTGGGGGTCCAGGACGGACATGAGGGAGGTCGGACCCCCCACGGGGACATGCCTGGTCATGGGCTGCCGTCCCCTGCAGCCTGTCACGGGCTTAGGCCCGGGTGGTCCCTCGGGGAACCGAGACTATATCGTGCGGGAAAGCGATATGGTCCCCGGGGAACTGTGAGACTGAGGTGGGCTGATGGTGTGTAAGCGGACCCTCGATTCACCGATGCTCGTCGTGGGAGAGGACTAGTAGGGCGGTCTCTCTCTGAACTGCGACAGGAGGGCAGGGGGGCATATATTAGGTTGTTCGGAAAGGAATGCGCGTTTGAGTGTAAAAAAATTTTTATTATAAAAACGAAATTAAACAAGGTCAATCTAAAAGATAATCTCCATTACTAGCAATGACTTGTTGCCAACTGTACGCAAAAACTTCGCCAAAAGAGCCTCTTTCACTACTTTTCCCCTCGGGTGTGTCGTTAGGTCCGCCGGAGAGGAAATGTAGGTCAAAAGAGCCTCTTTTACCACATACAAGCTCGCATTCGAAACAAGGGTCATTTTGCGAAGGATATGGGTTTGATGAGCGTGATTCATACATGATTCATGCCACTCCACATGGCCTGCCAAGTGTTATTTGCATATATACCATGCTCTGAATTCACCACTTTTCGAACCAAATTCACCACTTTTCAAACCAAATTCACCACTTTTCAAATCAAATTCACCACTCTTTTTAGACCGGGCAGTTCACCAACCAGATCACGCCAGACACCACTGCGAGCCCGCCCCGACGGTCACGCCTACTTGTCAGCGCGGACATAGATTTTCAACACATCGACACATGGCCGACTCCGCCCATTCTTCAAAGGGTTTGTTGCGAACTTCGAAATTTCATAACTTTTTCAACTTTTTAATTTCACATCCACTCTTTGCACAACGAAGATACTCGTAACCGCGCATTCATGCACGGCTTTAGGCTCCCGCCCCCTTGGCCACGCCCACTTGCTTTTTGCGGAATTTTGATATTTTTTCAAAATTTTTGCATTTTTGGACTGCTACGTGAAGCCCCCCACTGTGAGAGGCTCCGCCCACTTCGAAGAAGCCCCGCCCACTTTTCAAAAATGGTGCAGATCGGCAGTATAGAGCCTTGGCTTGCATGCTAGGGTCTCGTCCGTCACTCGGAACAAATAAATCAGGCAAAGTTTGTTCCGAGTGACGGACGAGACCCTAGCATGCAAGCCAAGACTCTATACTGCCGATTTGCACCATTTTTGAAAAGTGGGCGGGGCTTCTCCGAAGTGGGCGGAGCCTCTCACAGTGGGCGGGGCTTCATGGAGCAGTCCAAAAATGCAAAAATTTTGAAAAAATATCAAAATTCCGCAAAAGCAAGTGGGCGTGGCCGAGGGGGCAGAGCCTACGACGCCAGTGCAAAAAAAATAAATGTGCGGGTACGAGTATCTTCGTTGTGCAAAGAGTGGATGTGAAATTAAAAAGTTGAAAAAGTTATGAAATTTCGAAGTTCGCAACAAACCCTTTGAAGAATGGGCGGAGTCGGCCATGTGTCGATGTGTTGAAAATCTATGTCCGCGCTGACAAGTAGGCGGACCGTCGGGGCGGGGCTCGCAGTGGTGTCTGGCGCGATCTGGTTGGTGAACTGCCCGGTCAATTAGTGGTGAATTTGGTTTCAAAAGTGGTAAATTTGGTTTGAAACGTGGTGAAAATGTTTTGAAAAGTGGTGATATCTGCGTGGTATGTGGGCAATATCACGCTCCTGTTCTTGGCAACATCTGCGATAAGCTATCGAAAACTTTATGAGGAGGCAGGGTTAAAAACAGAACTGTGTGTGCTAGTCGACTTGATCGTAAACAAAACAGCAGAAGAAACTATGAGTCGCCCCGAATAAGGCACTACCTGTTACTAGGAAGAGGCTGTAAATCGACGAGGATTTCGAGTGAGAAATCAGTCAAGGACAGCGAAGCGCTCCTTACTGGCTTTTCCAACAAATGGTTTCGATTCCTCAAGTGAATACGGAACACGGTTCCAAGATACCGCCTTGGGCTCAAGAATCCAGGATAATCGGACTCACTACCATCGAATAACGATGGGCCACACGGTACAGCCTTGTCCTTGTGCTCACACTAAATGAACCTTAATAAACGAAGGAATCTTATTACCTGTTGCACTATGTGTGCTTTGAACGGAAAGCAAGGAAGCAGACTGCCTCAGTCAACATGCGACTCCTGCTTCTGATGAGTCAGTCGTTTGGCTGCAACGTTCTTTCATAGCGAGTGCTACAGCCTGCTGGTCCGGCGATGAAGCGACTGCCACAAAAAGGATGGAAAGAGGATGGTCCGGACTGGCACACATCTGACTCGTATCCGTGGAGTCATACAAGTGCCTATTCGGCTTGCTGAGTAGATTTCTCTAACTGTGACGTACCAAGCAAATCCCCTGAGAAATTTGAAGAGCGCTGAATAGAACTGTGGTTTACAGGGTGCGAATGGTTCGCACGTTCTCGTCACTGTCGCATTTCTGCTCATAAAAATCGAAAAAAAACAATGGTATATGGTAAAAAGCTAGTAGGTAGCGGCATGACGGAACGATTGAGGTCGTGAGGTAATCAGTGGGCAGAAGCCTCTAGCAAAGCGAACATGAACGATGCAGCAGAAATTCGAAGGGGAAGAGCTGTGTCAGCGGCCTTCTGCGAAATGATTATCTTTCGAAGCGTTTGCATTCTCGCCAAAACATAAACATTCCAACCAGAAATATTCACGATTCATTCGTGTTTCTGTCCTTTTGGAAGGAAACTCAAGCTAAAGCTGTCCAATCAGCTTAGGAGATTGGGTACTGGAAAAACTCGTTAGGCCAATAGTGGACTTGCTCGTGTGAGAGAGGGGAGGGTCCACGGACAACTTGAACTCAATCCCTTTGAACGCGTCGATCCTCTTTTTCTCTGCACTCTCTCGTCCGCATGGCACTCTATGGCCGTTGTGACTTCGCTCACTCCAGCTTTTCACCGACTATAAGTAGCTCACCCACCCCGGA